TGTTATTGCCCTGTCTTTCAGGTATTTGTGTGAGACTCAGCAGGTCTTCTTCTCAGGAAATGCCACTTCCTGCAGGAAATCAAATAAAGTAACATATGCAAAACAGAGTGTTCACAGAAATCCCCAGCCTCCTCCTCTCACCCCAGATCTGTAACCCAGTATCCCTAAGGCTGGTTTTCCAGCCATGTGGCTGGCTCTGAACAAGAAAAAAGGAGGGGAAGTGGGTCTGGAATTCTCTATTTTCCATTTCCACCATTGAATTTCCTGCTAACTCCTACACTGTAGTGTCCTTACAGTTTCTGCTGAAACTTCTTCATTTCCTATTACCAAATAAGAGCAGTCCACAGCTTAGGGTGTGTGATGAAAGCATGCCTGAACGTACTGCCCATCTGTCTTCCACTTTCTCATTTGGCCTTGTTACCTGTAGAAGTAATGAAGCAGAAACCCCACCACTTCTTCCTCATCAGTATCATATCTGTATACATCTATGGGAGTTCCTCCCATACCTTCCCCCAAGGTAATTGTACTAGGCATCAGTTACCTTCAAAACACCCCCACTGATTTCCATGCACTGACTCCTTGCGATACGCAAGGCAATGTAAGAATCCAGATACTGAGCTGTTACGCAGGTGGGATGGTTTTGTGGTAGGGCTACGGTCATCACACTTGAGTCTGACGACAACCTTTGAATGGTTTTGATTTCACCGTCATAGCCTAGGCCCATTCACCTAAGCAGATTATGGTCAAAAATATTCAGTTGTGGCTGTGATCTTGTTCACCTCTGGTGACACCTGACTTGAGGGCCTTGATTTTCAGCTGTTTGTTCAGCTGCTCCTGAAAGACGGCTCTGTGGGCACCCAGAATAATTAATCACGTTTGAAAATCCTGGCTCGTAACTATACAGCAGAAGTTTATAATCTCTCACTAACAAGGTCACCAGATAAAGACGGGTGAGGATTTCACTGTTTTATAGAAATAACTTACCAGCGCAAAAGGTTACTTAAATGTTAATGAGTGTTGAATTTTTGTAAATTGAAAGGGGAATAAAAGGAGAAAAAATGATGATCTATCATAGTATAATGATGTATGCAACCCTAACATCTTGTTTAGACTTCAGAACTCTTCTGACAGAGCTATGCTGTCGAAGGATGTACTTTGAGATAACATTAGTTGGCAAAAGCCCTACCTAGATATAATTCAAATGGCTTAGGAGCCTTTCGTCACTATTGCTTATTTAATCTGGTGACCTAAGGCAAAGTACATAGCAAACTGACTTTTGCTCTTACAACCTGTATTTGTGTTAAGGAACTTAAAACTCCTATGCTTTTAAGAGAAAGGTTAGAAGAAATATATCTGGAGAGCGATACGGTTAAAAAGAGAAGAAAGAAGCAAGGAAGTATGATGAGATAGCTCTCCGAGTTGAGAAAGCTGGTCTTTTCCTACTCTATAATTTAAAAGGATGTTTTTAGAAAGTTAGCTAGTATTCTCTGATGTTTTTGAAAGCTCTGCTCAAAACAGATTCTACTTTACTATAGACTAATTGAATCAACTCACAGCCTCTTTTCTCTAACGAGTGACATACTTTAAATTACATTTTGCCTAGTCTTGACCAGAGTTTTAGACATTTTTGATGTTTTAGGTATTGTTAAATACTAGGTTTCATAAGCTATCATGTAACATCAGTTATTAAACACTATGCCTCTTAACATCTTCAATGCCCTATTTGCCAGCTAGTCACAGCTATAATTTTCCTGTTCTTTATCAGGCACAAAGTTGTAATTAAAAACTACAGGGCTTTTTAAAGGGCTTAGTAAGACTGTATTCACTGGGGATGTCCTCATAGCTGAAATGTAGTTACCAGTCAGAAATTCAGCATATTCAAGGGGATAGGACTCCAGCTCTCCACGTCTGTACCACTTGAACCCAGAGTCTTGATAGCTATTCACACCACGGCTTCCAACTCATTCTAAGAGAGCAATGCTATACACGTGCATTAACTAGACAATTACTATAACTTACTTCCAAATATTGCCACTGTTCCTATTCGAATAGTTAAATAAATACATGAGCTTGAAACAAAATGTTAGCAAAATCACAAAAGTTTATGTACTGTTGTTGATAAAAAATTGCCCGAGCTTGTCTGTGTGTATTACATATATTTGAAAACTGTGAAACCTCCAGCACCTTATCATCTTGACAGAGAGTGCCTGAACATCAGCTCATTGCACTCAGTATATGGGTTCAGGTGTGTGGTTGTACTGCAGTTGGAAATATCAGCATATTTTCGCAATCATTGTTATTTATAATGCATTGCAAGTATGCGTACTGCTTCACAGATACATGAAAGACAGGGTTGGTGCTTGAGGGAGCTTGTAACTTGACTCACATACAATACAAAGGCTAACAGTTCAAATCCGTATGAGAGCAAAGAACAAGTGAGATCTTACGGGCAAAGCTGGTAATAGAAAATTTCAGGAAAGTGTTACGCTTTAAGGCTGTCCTGTACAGGATTTGGTTTTCCTTCATAAAATAAATAACAAAGACCTAATTCTATTTTAATTACTTTCGCTATTTCAAGAATGTCTGAATACCTGGGGTTTATGAAGACTTTATTAATTTGCACATTGCATGTTCTTGCACCCTAGTTTGAAATAATGGATCTTCATTTTGCAAAACTAAGCTGTCCTGAATAATGCTCATTAGCTGCAAAAACTTGTCCTAATAAAGAAAAAGAACATGTGAAAATGCTGAAAATGTTTTCACGCCCTACCTGTATAGGCCTGTGTATACTCAGACCCTCTGCTCTTGGTGCCTTGATTTTAGCGGTGATGTAACTTGGGTGAGTGAAGGAACTCACACACTTTTTCTGGGTAGGTTAGTATTTGTTAATACATTTAAAAGCAAGAAAGAGGTATTTTTGGAGGAGAAAAATCTTCAAAGCTGTTCTGATACTTCACAATGAAACTAAAAAAGATACAACCCAAAACTCTTTCAGACAACAAACGTTTCAGAACAGATGTTAGGGGTGACAGGCTGTTTAGTATAGTATTTGTGAGGCGTTGAATTAAACTGGATGCTCATTCATTGTCTCCCTAATCTCCTTCATTTTTTTGATTTGTAAGAAGACATGGCCTGTCAGAGTCAGACAGGTTAAAGGTGGCAGAAAGACTGAGCCCGTCACATGTGCTGCAGTACCCGGAGATGCTGATGGGAAGTTATTGATGCTTTTTTTGTGCCTTTCTCCCTCTCCCAGGACAGTCTTCTTCCACGGTGTGAGCAGGCCAATATGGGACAAACACCTCAGTCAAAGGAGGGCTGGAAATCAGGTTGAGATTCAGGCTGGAAACTACTGGAAATGATCATGACTGCAATGGCCTTGTGAAATGGCTTTCTATTGACGAAATAACTGCTGGAAGCTTCTGCTCAGCTATTTATTCTCACATCTGGCCTCACTTCCACGTACACTAGAAGGTCCTGAGGCTTCACCGAGCCCTTCACTGCGCCAAATCAGTGCCACCCGTTCCGGTTCCCATGAGCTGTGCTGTTTTCCCTCCTCGCTAGGTAAGCAACGAGATGCGGGACACCACAAAGTCCTCCAAAGCTTTTCCAGGGTGTTCCCTGCAGCCCTGAGGGAGAGAGACCCTGCGGAGGGGCCCAGA